TCCAACTTTTAAGTCCTTTGAAATAAACATAAAAAGTGGATCTGACCAGTGCTGAATACACAAACCCTCCCTAAACATACGTACATTTCCTTTCCAATTTCTCTGTTAAGGATAGCCAATTATTAGTCCAAAATTATGTAGCATATTAAGACATTGATTTGGTTGTTAATAAAAATAAATAAAAACAAAAAGCCTTACACAACAGAACTATGCACTTAACAACTGTCAAGAAAACATAATCTATTACCCTGAAAACTATTTTTGTTAATACAACCTTTGATTTATTTATTTTTAATCAGCTTGCTGCTCCCCAAAAACCTTTCAGCTTGCCATGTATTTAACATGAAGAGTCAGAGAAACTGCTGTGCAATTTCAGTTTCTCTCAATGACAACATAGAGAACTTTCATCACCACGACTTTGTCTTTAAAAAAAAACAAACCGTAACAACAGTGGAAGGAAGAAATAATCTCTGATACAAACAACATGTCCTGTCATAAACAAAAGCACTAATTAAAACTTACATGGCAGTTACGTGTCATAACTATCATGATTTATATGCACAGGACAACAAATTTACTGAGGGAACTTATTGTTGAAAGGGCAAAGAATCATTAGGTTCTCCTACCCTCTGGAAGGGGACAAGTTTTAAAATGTTTTCAATAAACCCGTGCATTGCTAACTAGTACTCCAGATTTCAGTATACAACACTTCCATTTAGCTTAGTATTCTTTTATTATTAAGCAGTTATAAAAAGAAGATAGTAAGTATTTAACACAAGCCTGACAACCAGTTTCTAGAGTAATGTCACTTCTGCAAATTCGACATTTAGCCAATTAGGACTAATCAGATATTCACAGACTTCACAGCCCAATTAAGCAACGTATTTAAATAAGCAGTAGTCACTGGCCTTCATAGAATTTTTAAAATAACCTTATTTTTCATGGTTAAAAAAAACACTATTATGAGAGGTATAAAAATAAAAATAATAATTTCATTATTTCATTGTTCTTGACTGCCATTAGAATTTAACAAAAAAGTACTTTAAAAAGTCTGAGGTCAATATAAGTTCACTTATCAAAACCAAGGAACACTTGACTTTGACAATAATAACTTACCGCAGTGGACTGTTTAAGAAAGCTCACTCATTCAGCCCTATAGGCCTGCTAAAGGGCATGAATTAGCTCACTCAGAAAGAATTCTTGGCTTGCAGTTCTTAATTTCTGATCATTGACTGCTGCTGTGGTATGTATTAATTAATTACTTAATTGTTCAATTCCCAAACTTATGTACAATATATATATGTGTGTGTGTGTGTGTGTAAGAAAGAGATTAAAAAAAAAAAAAAAAAAAGGGGAAGGAAATCCATCGTATTGCTTCCCATCAGCATTCACATAAGTCGTCTTGCACTTGGGCCACAACAGCCACATGCAGCTCTATAGACACAGGGAAGAGTGGTTGGACAGTTAGTTTCTCTGCAGAAAAGAACATGGTGCCGGTCAACAGCTGGCTGAGCATGAGCCAGCAGTGTGCCCAGGCAACTGTGAAAGCAGTGCTTTAGATTGGACGTTAGGAAGAATTTCTTCATGGAGAGCATGGTTAGGCATTGGAACAGGCTGCTCCAGGAGGTTGTGGAGTCACCATCCCTGGATAAAAGAGATGTGTGGACGTAACACTAAGACACTTAGTGATGGGACACGGTAGGTATGGCTGGAGATTGCACTTGATCTTAAAGGTCTTTTCCAAGCCAAATGATTCTATTCTATGACCAGTACTTGTGAGAACTTGTAAACGTTGCCCCGAAGCCTCTGTCATTTGAATGGCCATAAGAGGATGTCCTCATTTATGATGTAATATACCAGTCATACACCTGTTCAAAAACTTTAGGGGTCTTTTCTATACGTAGGGAAATACAATTCTAAAAAATCACAGATCTCATTTCATGTACCTGGTGAAGAAGCTGCCAGATTCTTGGCAGCTCCTCCATGGCTGGCAATGTTTGACCCTTTTCTCCAGACTGCTGTTATCAAGGTCCTGTTTGTTTTCACAATTCGAGTTTTCGGCCAGCTCTGTTCCCGTAGAGTCGAAAGCACTGAATCTCATGATCCTCACACCAAGGCCAAAACTGACCTTAATCTAACAGCGTTACATTTACAGTTACTAACTGTGTAAACATGACAAGGACTCAGAAAACTCAGCTGTGTTGCACCATAAAGACAGAGAAGGGGATTCAGCTACTCAGACCACTGCCTTGTAAATCTTCCACAGATTATGATGTTTGCCACTCCTCGCAGACAGACACACTGCACACAGAACGGGGATGTAAAGGTGAAGTATGGTATGTTGTACAAAATGAGATATCCTAGGGCACAAAATGTGGTAACAACTATTACCATAAATTATGAAGAGATTTACAGATAAATTAGGGTTGTCATGAGACTTAATTTTAACGGTTTGATAATCAAGTAAGAAACACAATAATTACAATACCTGTTTTTCAGTAAACCAAAATCACTGCTACTAGCAACACTTCTTTGTTAATTTACATAATAAAATCCCTTCCTGGAGCTGCCTGCTGTATTCCTCTAATTCTGAACAATCTATTAAATCCCACATCACTGTGATAAACAATTTCAGTTTCACTGCTGATTATATTGAAAATATTTCTAATTTACAGCAAACCTCCTTCAATCATATACAGCAGACAATGCAAGAAACAGTTTTACAGATGGAAAGCTCCGCTAGTCTAGAAAACTATCTGAAGACTGGAATTTCCAATAGCTTTTCTAAGAGAATTCCTGCCCCATAATATAGAAAGCAGAAACAATGCATCAGAAACTTCCAAGTTATTTTAGTTTCTGAATATCCAGGGGAAGTAAAGAGGCAAACAGTAAGCAGGAAGCACCATTATTCTTCTTCTTAGGTTTGCTGGCAGAAAATATGATAAACACAATCTCAAGCAATGAGAACAGGGATGAGGAAAACAATTTCCCAGAACCTACTCTTCATCAGAACAGGAGATTTCAAAATGATGGTGATGAATGGAGGGAGAGTAAATTACAAAAGAAATCACTAGGAACCAAAGTAAGAGCTGGAGGAAAAGTTACACTTCAAATAAAAGTGGAATGAGGAAAATATAAAGAATGAAGAAAGAACCAGGAAGGTACCAGGAAGGAGGGAAAAAAGACCTTCATTGAAAAGCCTCACCTCAAATATCACTCAAATTGAAAAGCAGTCAATGCCTGGAGATGAAAAAAAATATCCTAATAGTAGGTCTTAGTGAAAAACATTGTACATCTGGGCCAGAAACATTTGGTTCAAAAGTAACCCCCTGTGAATGACAGTTCTACATTACCAAACACAGACCTAGGACCAGTGCTTCAAAAAAGGGGAAGATTTCTTGTTTTTTGTAAAATTATCCAAAGCTCCACGGTAGAAAGAGTTGGCTGACTTTAAGGCTCAGTTATGTTCCATCTAAGTTTCTGCAGAGGATTCACTAGAATAGAAAATAAACCTGCAAGTAACGTAGGACCTATATATACAGTCACAAATGCTCGCAGATATTAGTTGTGTATATACCTAGTTATAAATACACAGTTGAAAGTTATACTGTTTATCATTCAAGAAATAACAAATGTGTTTAGAAGTGGTAGAAAACTCTCTGCAATTCCTAAATACAAATAAAACAATAAAATATTTTGCATTAAGATTAAAATCAATGTCCTTAAAAGACTTAAATTCTTCCAAGAGCCACAAAATCCACTTCGCTAAATGACTGCTTCAAAAGTCTTATAGAAAGAGTTTTTAATCCATTAAAATGTAATGATTTCAGGATAAGTAAACTTCAATTATTAAATCCATATGAAAACAAAAGCAATTCAAACAAGGAGATGCAAAGCAATTATATTACATATTGTCCCAAAAACTGTGAGTAGAAAATTCATACACAAATATACAGAGAACACAGATATGAATATGCACATTTTGTAAGTACTTAGTCTGATTTTCTGAAAAGAGTGAATTCTTTCTGAAAAAAAATTAGAAAAGGAAGAAGCACTGCTTGTTACCACTATTTTTGTCCATTTCTTCAGAAAGAACAGTTGACAGAATTTAACCTTGAGACACCTTTTGTCATGATATTACTGAGATTCCTAGGTACTTTGTACTTGTTTTTCACAATTGCTTGTCTTGCAATTGATGTATTTCTACTTCAAAATAATATTCAGGCTGAAATTTAAATACTTTGAAGTATTTCCTTTTAAATGCTTATCAACTGTACAACTTAAGAGAACTCTCCCAAAGAACAGAACTGTGATGTCTATGACCAAACTGAAACATATCTTTTCTCGTGGTTCATCTTTTCAAGGTGAAAATGATGTTATCTAGGCAAAATGATCATCTGAAGGAGAAAAACCAAACAAGATACCTAGAGTAGAGTCAGTTGTTGAAATTCCTTTCAGACACAACATGGTGTTTCAGGATGTAGTTAGGTACAAAATAGCATTTACATCATCCCAGTAGGGTTGGAAGAAACAACACATAGAAGAGTCTACTTAATTCTAGAATATTTTTACTACAGAAATTGTCACTGCTTATTCAGCAATTTTATTTTTCTTTATTCCATTTCTATTTCTATAAAAACAGACAAAGAGTCTGGGGAACTACATGGAGAAAAGAGCATTTCAAACTGGGAAAGGATAAGATCTATTGGGTTCTGATTTTAACAGTGGAAGAACTATGTTCAGACCACATAAAAATCATATTAAAACATTAACTAAGAACACAACTGAACTAGTTGGGTCAGTGTTACATCCATATCCCTACTTCACAACCTACCCTTTCATATATTATCCTTTACTAGATTCAAAGCCAAAGAAATTAACTTGAGAAAGTACTAGAACTCAATGAAACACCTTAAAAAAAAAGGCCCCAAATATCAACAGCAGGGTAGAAATAAATAATATGCTTTAAAGCAGGGCCCTCAAAATAGGAAAGGACTTACCGCTGACATTCTCCAGCATGCAGAATTAAATCTTCGTTGTTCCTAGCACTGATGGTCAGCTCGTGCTCTGTGGAATTGAAGACATCAAGAAGTAGATGACATTGCCGGGTGCTGTTCGGGCAGGGGAAAAAAGGATACCACAATGTCAGTAAAACACCACAGAACAATCATACATACATCTGAAAAAACATTTACACATAAATATTTATGCTTGCATAGAAAAACACGTACATTCAAGAGATAGTAGATGCCTTATATTTATATCAATATCTTACTCTTTTAGTACAAATACCTTTCTCAAAAAACTAAAACCTGACAGAAGCATATATTCAATTAGAGTTCCATGACAACTATGACCCCAATAATATTAAGCCCTATAGCATTTGATCATCTGCACATATTCTTACTTTGTTGTTTTAAGATTCAATTCTGTGGGAAAAAGCCACACGTTTTATTCAGCTCTTTTTCAGCATTCACACAAGACAGGTTTTCTTACTTCACACCACCTTGACATTTATCTTTTTAAGCAGCAAAACTTTAAACCTTTGCTCAGTTTGTAAGGGAGCAGTTCCACGCATAATAGAATCATGAAATGGTTTGGGTTGGAAGGGACCTTTAAAGATCACCTACTTCCAACCCCCTGCTATAGGCAGGGACACCTCCCCCTAGACCAGGTTGCTCAAAGCTCCATCCAGCCTGACCTTCAATGCTTCCAGGGAGGGAACATTTAAAACCTCTCTGGGTAACCTGTTCCAGTGTCTCACCACCTTCACACTACGGAATTTCTTCCTGCTATCTAGTCTAAATCTTCCTCCAGTTTAAACGCATTTTCCCTTGTTGTGTCCCTACCTGCCCTTATAAAAAGTTCCTCCCCAGCTTTCCTATTGCCCCCCTTCAGGTACTGGAAGGCCACTATAGGTTCTCCCTGGAGTCTTCTCTTCTTCAGGCTGAAGAGCCTCAATTTTCTCATCCTGTTCTTGTAGGGAAGGTGCTCCAACCCTCAGATCACCTTCATGGCCTCCTCTGGCCTTACTCTGCTCACAGGCTGGAGAATGTTGGCTTTCTGCATTATGCCAACTACTCCAGGAGAGACAACTTTGTCCCGTCTTACAGAAAGGATCACAGAGACAGGACTAACAGAAGGTCTTATATTAACCAGCTACTGTCTTTCAAATCCAAACTTCCCTAGATGCATTCATTGGAAATATACAGTGTTTTCGGTTATATTTGGAAATAATATTGACAGAGCTACAGAAAAGAAACTTTGCTGTAGATTTTTAGTCTTATTTCTAAGCTTCTCTTCTTTGTGAAATAATGTACAAACAGGAACGTTGAATGAAGATTGTAATGTAATACAAATGAAGCAAAAAATCAGAAAGAATCAGATAGAAAATGCCAAATGCAATCAGATAGCTATGATAATGCTTTATCAGTCCAGTCTGAAATTCAAAACTTCCTTAGAAGCTACTTAATCGAGGAAAATATCCCAGCCATAAGCATCACTATAATTTATCTTTAACTATAAATGACTTCAACGTTTAAATGTATTTATAACAACATTAGATGACTTGTCATTGGGAATTACAGAATAAAGTAGTGTAGCTATTGTACAGAGATTACAGATCATTACAACCCATGTAATTGCTGGCACAGACACTAAGTAGGGAAAAGCAACTTGTGTTGGATGTCAGAAATAAAACTCATTAGCAGCTTTAACTTATAGAACCAGAGAAACACAGAATGGCTCGGGTTGGAAGGGACCTCAATGATCACCTAGCTCCAACTCCATGCCATGGGCAGGGTTGTCAGCCAGCAGGTCAGGCTGCCCAGGGCACCATGCAACCTGGCCTTGAACGCCTCCAGGGATGGGGCATCCACAGCTACTCTGAGAAACTTGAGAGGGAGCTCACATGAAATCAGAAGTTCCCCAGAAGAGAAGAAAGAGAAACAAAGTGGTAAGATAAGGGTTGTCAGCGCAGTCTTTCAAGTAACACACATTCAAACTCTGTAAGATACAGTTGAGAGCCTCAGGTAACCAAGTACACTTCTCCTACTGCGTAAGAATTTCAATTCAACTCCAGTCATTCCAGAGAGAATTAAGCTCTGACAATGCAAGAGTGTAAGAGCTGCTCTTCCACTTATGAAAAAGCTCCGCTGGTGTGTAATGCCATTCTTTGCTGAGTATCAAGAGAGAGTATATCCAGGGCGCATACAGGAGGAACCGCACTGATGCCATGCAGAACCCTGAGATGGGACATTCTTACAAGTATGGGATTCAGCCCCGAGTGACAGCAACACCACACGCAACCAGGCACTGAGCTACAAGCGAGCACTGCCTGGGGACAGCACCATGCCTCTAAGGAAAAGCAGAAAGGAAACGGGAGGTGGGAGAATAGAGGTGCTTTTTGGTATTTTTCAGGGTTTTTGCTCTTTTTGGGTAAAATTCCAGTGAATACTGAATATAGATAATGCACAAAGGTACCTGAGTGCCTGAAGCAAACATGTCAAAACTCATGAATTTTGAACAAATAAGGAGTCACAGATTCTAGCAGAAACTCCCTGCCTATACAGCTCACATAAAAGGAACGACTGCGAGAGGCAGTAGCTAACCTGGTATCAGCAAGGAATGAGAAAGCAAGCCAGGCTTCCATCTCACTGCTGGCAGTGGGACGAGCCCTGCAAAGCCACAGAAAGCTTCTGTCTCTCCAGCAGATGCTAAGACATGATTTGCAAGAGAGATTTCTTTGCTTATAAAATTCGACATGGAAGCAATTTTTTACTTATCCCACAGAAAGAAACAAACAGTCGTTTGAAATAACATTCATACAAGCTTTGTACAATAGTATTTGACGGCAGAATCAAAGTTTTGTAAATAAAACAACTGATGTTATAAATATAAGGGATCTTTACAAACAGCAGACCTTCAGAACTGAACACCGTCACTCATTCTAACAATTCCTGAATAAAAACTCTTGGATTATACAGTGAAAATTATTTGTCACGACTCTTTGCTCACCCTTTACAAACACCACAAAAAAATAGGCCTACAGGGAAAATATTTTTTCCTTGTCACTTTTGAGCAAAATAAGGAAATCTTCAGTAAAAAATAAAAGAGCTAGAGAATCATTACAGTACTTGAAAAATAGTAAGATACAGGTATAAAATGATTGCAGGCAACATGAAGGCAGTAGGAAAATACTATACCACAATTCAGGGTAATTACATATCAGCATCAAACCAACTATTAGAGCAATAAAAAACAAACAATTTCAGGTTACAAAAATATATGGACTGAAAAAAGGGTTTGAATACTGGAAATAAGACAAAATATAAACTCTGGTAAATTATATGTAATACTACGATAAAAGGAGAAGAAAAGAAAGCCTGCAAGTTGTTAAAGAGCAATTTACTTAAGATCTGTAAAGTAGAAAAAACTTTCTTTTTTCTCTTTATTTTCTGCCATGTCACAAGCAGGAAGACTGTGTAGAACTGATGAAACTGAGCTACAAGCAGGTCAAAAATGAAAGTTCCAGGAAAACAAAGAATTAGTAAGAAAGCCTAATTCCCTCTTCACATCAATTTTCACTACAGATAAACTTACAGAAGACCTTTCTTTGAAAGACAGGAAGGAAATGACCTACTTCAGTGTCAGTCAATGATATTTTAGTAGTAAATCATATTCACACAAGGGTGATAAAGGAACTCCAGCATGAATTTGCGGAACACAGCACACAGTTGAATCCAGTAATCTGTTGTTTAAACTAAGCTCTGTACCAGAAAAATTTCAAATGTCATATTGTTTTAAGGATTTCAAGGCAATTGAGAAAAATCTGAGACCATCAGCCATTGCCTCCACATGAGGTAAATGAGTTTTCTTTGAGAAGTGTGTAAGCTTATTTAAAAAAAGAACTGAACACTCATTCTAATAAATAGATCCGAAGATGATTTTACTACAGACCATAGCAGTCTACCAAAATTTTTGGCTGAAGAAAAGCAGTCATAAGCCTGTGTTTCTAGGAACTGGGAAGGACTATCCAACGTTTGCTCAATATCATCTTACTTTACTGAATTACCCCAATTTCTTCACCTTTTAACAAACTATGTACCACCAGGTAATATTTTACACTAAATATTTAGTGGACTAGGAAGGGCTGTACAGGGTAAGCCACCGGGAGAAATTAGCCAAATTTTACCTAGAGTGATCATATAAACTTCATTTTCCTGGGAAACTGTACTTAAAACTATCCAGCAAAACACATCAGAAATTGGAAATAGATATCTTTTGTGAACAGAATGATGTACACATATTGCACAGTATTAAGAGATCAGTTTAAACAGAGATGGATGTATACAAACTCTGGGTTAAGTTCTAGATTTTACTTTGATTCCCATCTTGCTGTTCTGAACCAAGCAGTTTCAAAGCCTAAGTGGTAAAATGCTAAAAATCACATTCTGCAAACAACTTCCCTTTCAGTTATCTTCCTTGTTTGTCTCCCGTGTTTCCTTTAGAAGAATCTACCGTGCATTTCACGTGCAAGGTTTTATTTTACAAGTACCATGGAAGGCTGTATGTCAGGAGGCAGTGCAGGCAAAAGCTAGAATTAGAAAGATGTTCTCAGTTGGATGAATTATACTCGAAAGGTCTCAGAATAACGTGCACAATTAAGTCAGTACTTACTTCAAACTCTAAAAGATAAGATTTATTTATTTTTAATTCTACTGTGTCTTGGAGATTTATTGCATAAATTAATTTATATTATCTTCCTTTATAGAACCCGGGACGTAAGACAAAGAGAAGCTGGTGACATGATGAATCAAACCATGTATTAAAAGCCTTACAATGTTAGGATTACAGAAATAGTCACAAAAGTGGGGCCATGGGAACTCAGACAAGAGGCAATTACACTGTGATCTAGAAATTTCTTTCAGGGGTATTGCAATTACTATTCCGACCTACTCTGAAATGACATCAGAGGATATACTTCAGTAACATTTAACACAATATTACAAACCAGATGCAGCTATCATGCTCTAATGACAGCTCACTGCAGTGAATAATCTTATTGCCATTCTGTTTCTAGCTTTGTTCTAAAGTCAGTTCAAACAAGAAA